GGACTATTTACACATGAAAAATAAAAGAAGTCTTATTTTTTATTTCGAACCTCGTTTGAACTCTTCAAAACCTACGTTTGTCCCTCCGAACTAATATGTGCATTAAGTATGTCGTCACGGACGCCCACATAAAATTTCAGTCAAAAAATCCACGGACGCACATATCTCACATATAACACACGAAAAATGTAAGAATTTCTATTTTTGGGTTCGAGCCTCGTTTGAAATTGAAAATACATATGTTTGTCCCTCTAAACCAGCGCACGCTATTAAGAAGGTCGTCACGGACGCCCAACAAAAATTTTGGCCAAAAAATTATCGGTTGCATATATCACACAAAATCCATGGACTATAACACATGAAAAATGACAAAAATCATATTTTCGGTCCGGACCTCGTTTTAACTTGTTTGTCGTCACGAACGCCCACAATTTTTTTTGATCAAACAACCGTCGGATGCACATATCACACAAAATACATGGACTATAACATGAATAATTTTTGAAAAAAATATTTAGAAGCATATATCTACATCACAAGAGAAATTGTTAACAGAAACAAATAAATTTAGACTACATCATGTTAACTTCATATATTGAAACATTACATACTAATCTATATACTAAGCAAAAAAATAATTATTATATCATCACAATTAGTTTCCTCAAGTACTCGAGGTTAAGGAATATACCCTCTTAGGGTAGAACAATTTACTTCATCAGAATAGTGGTACATCATATTCCGCTACTTCGAACTTACTCAACGACAATAAATCACATGAAATTTTTTAAAATGCAAGAAGAAGAAGAGTAGAAGATTAAAAGAATCGTGGTTGAAAAATGAGAGGAAACCCCTCTATTTATAGTCTTCGAACTTACTCAACGACAATAAATCACATGAAATTTTTTAAAATGCAAGAAGAAGAAGAGTAGAAGATTAAAAGAATCGTGGTTGAAAAATGAGAGGAAACCCCTCTATTTATAGTCAACAAAGGGTAGTATAACCATGTGTTTTTTGTGTCTTATCTGAAAAGTTATGACCTTTCCGAGAAGTCACAACCCTTTCGAAAAGTCACAATTTATTGAAAAAGTCACATCTTGTTGTAAAAGTCACAACTCTTCGGAAAAGTCACAACTCTTCGAAAAATCATAACCCTTTGAAAAAAGTCACAACTTATCAAAAAAGTCACAACTCATCGTAAAAGTCACAACCTAATTTAGAGATATTATAGTAATTTAACATTTAAGTTAGGAGTTCATGCTTTTAAGGTAATATAGATATAAATAGGATGATATGATATATATATATATTCTATTGCTTCTTTGGAAATTTTGAAGAAAAAAAAAATTGTCCTTAAGCCTCCCGACTCATTCATTTGTATGATGTCAAAGAAGCAAGTTGTCCAGCTTTGTTGATATCCTTGTTATCCTTAAAGGAACAGATCAACCACCCATTTTCATGTTATCCATACCAAACCTACTTCAGTGACTGAAAATGAGTAACTTGTCAAAACAACTTCTTCAGAATATACTCAGTGGTGGAATCAGAATTTTCGCTAAAGAGTTCACAATATGAAGAAATAGACACACGAAAAAAGGATTCAATATCTACAGTATATACCTAATAAAAAAAACTTTAATTAGGTATAAACAGGAGGATAGATAAACCCCTCGGTCCTATCTGGCTCCGCTCTGAATATACTCCTCCAAGTTTTCTGGACCACCCCATTGAATATTCCAGTTCACCTGTTTTTAAATAAATATCCATCATCTCAATCTTGTGTGAAGCAAGGAATAATGGATTCTTCATGGGAAGCTAGTGTAACTGATTCCATAAATGCAATTTACCTTTTATTCTCTGCTTACTTGGTTTTTGTAATGCAATTGGGATTTGCCATGCTTTGTGCTGGCTCTGTTAGGGCCAAGAATGCAATGAATATTATGCTTACAAATGTAGTTGATGCTGTTGTTGGTAGTCTTTCATACTATCTTTTCGGTTTTGCTTTTGCTTTCGGCGATTCAAATCCATTTATAGGTGCTAGTTATTTTGCTCTTAAAGACATTCCTTCTAGCTCTTATGACTACAGTTTCTTTCTTTATCAATGGGCTTTTGCTATTGCTGTTGCTGGAATTACTAGTGGTTCTATTGCTGAACGTACCCAATTTACTGCTTATCTTTTCTTCTCTTTTTTCCTTACTGGATTTGTTTATCCTGTTGTTGCTCATTGGCTTTGGTCTTCTAATGGTTGGTTAAGTCCAAATTCAACTTCTCTTCTTTTTGGTTCTGGTGCTATTGACTTTGCTGGTAGTGGTGTTGTGCATTTGGTTGGTGGGATTGCCGGTTTTTGGGGTGCTATTGTAGAGGGTCCAAGGGTAGGACGGTTTGATGCGTTTGGTAATCCTGTGAAAATGAGAGGCCATAATGCTACTCTAGTAGTGCTTGGAACATTGTTGTTGTGGTTTGGATGGTTCGGGTTTAATCCTGGATCATTCGACAAAATTCTTGTTCCGTACCCACATATGGTTGATCAAGGTAACTGGACCTCTGTGGGACGGACTGCAGTCACAACTACCCTGGCTGGTTCCACCGCGGGGATTGTAACCTTGTTTGGACGAAGGTTATTGGTGGGACATTGGGATGCAATGGATGTTTGTAATGGAGTTCTTGGTGGGTTTGTTGCAATCACTTCAGGTTGTTCAGTGGTAGAACCATGGGCTGCAATTGTGTGTGGGTTCTGTGCAGCTTGGGTACTGATTGGATTGAACATTTTAGCGCTTAAATTCAAATTTGATGATCCGTTAGAAGCAGCACAGTTGCATGGAGGGTGTGGAGCTTGGGGTTTGATATTTACAGGGTTGTTTGCTAAAGAAGAATTTGTGTTGCAAGCTTACAATTCCGGTAAAACACAAGTTATACGACCTTCCGGGCTGATTTTAGGAGGTGGATGGGGTTTGTTTGGGGCACAAATAGTTGAACTATTGAGTATTGTGGTTTGGGTAAGTTTGACAATGGGGCCTTTGTTTTATCTACTTCAGAAACTTGGAATTTTGAGGATATCATCGGACGAGGAGGTTGCTGGTCTTGATATCTCTTGTCACGGAGGTTATGCCTACGATGCTAGACAAGAAGAAAGTGGCGCTCGCTTCTATGGCGAGTATTTAAGGATGCAACAACAATAATAAGGTGCACACCTCAACTCTTCCACCTGTATCTGCTATCCGCTACCAGTATATATGCAACTTTGTAATTTCCTCACATCCTTGCTGTATTTACGGGCATCTTAGCTATTAAATTCTCTCTGCTTTTGATTCAATGAACATGTATATATTGTATTGAGAAAACTTGTGGAATATATCAGAGAACCCTCGTTTAATTATTGACGTTTATTATTGCAGCCACATGGTGTTTCATAGCTCATACTGCTTCGCGTGAAAATGAAGTTAAACCTTAATTGAGGTTGTTAATGTATGGATCAATGTTGTTGCTCCTATTTCCATTGCACAGCCAAATAGTCCTTGATCTGCTCAATAATATAACCAATGTCTACAAGTGTGGTAGATTATGCAATGGCTAAAACAATTCATCTATATCACTTCCAAACGGGGTCTCCACCTTCATAGTATAATTCAAGACGCGACACACAAGGTACATTTTGATAGAACTTGGTTAAAAAGAAGAAGCTGATTCAACCAGTTAACTTTAAGAATCTGCACTTAGTATTAGATATGGTAGAGATGAACTTTGACAAGACATGGCCCCAAAATATTCATCAACAAAACACTACAGACAACTCTATACTGACTGTTATATACGCGAAATACAATTCAGTCATTCCAGTTCTTGATATTTCAGCTAGACACACTCTTTGTCCATTTACATCTCCCAAGTCATTGCATGCCTACATTTATTTCACAAAAGGTTAAAAGGAAAGAGTTAGATGCAGAGCAGTTATCTCAATTCTCACACATTTATATCGAAACGAAACAATGAAACACAAGCTAGACCTGTCATTGACACTGCCTAACTGTTCCGTTATTTTCTTAAACATAACAAGGGAGATGGTCTTTGGAATATCAACTCATAATAACACATTTTGAATTATAATAATCTTTTGATCACTGAGATATTCCTATTGGGATAACGGTTGAACATATTTTATGTTTCTCCATAAGATTAGATAAGAATAGCGTACTGTCTATTTTTCACGAAATCATTCACTTATCTAATATAACAAGAATATTTAGAAGATATAATATAATGTAATACCATAACGATCAACTAAAAAAGAATCATTAAAGAGCTTAATATGAATATATACCTGAAGGATTTGACATTATATCATGCGACTGGAAACATGTCTAGATGCCATTATTTCTTCTTCCTTTTTACCTCTGAAATAGAACTTATTTTCTAGCATCTAATGTTCAAACTAAATCAATGGAACATGTCTTTTCTTTTTTTTTACATTAATTTATCACTAAATTATGGTAAATTTGATGTAAACACCGAGTATATGTAAGTTAATCCAACTGCTACGATGAGATTGTTTACTCAAGTCAATGCACAAGTCTTTTTATACACTTTCATCACTTAAGCACAACTCATTCATATGTATTTGTTAAAAAGGTAACCTTTTTACTGCTTATTCTTCAATCTTACAATGATTACAAGATGCAGTTTATACCGTAATGCTGTTTATGAATAATGAAATATTGTCTTGGCTTGAGAAATGACATATTATTACCTGTATGCATGTACTATTCTGATTTTACACGCTTATAGGACATGGAATGTAAAATATGTGTTATCTAGCTACACCAGATGAAATCTTCCTTAACAACGTCCATCTAAGCTTCTGCTATTGAAACTTGTCAATTAACTAAAGTTTATGCAATTGTGGAATTCCATTAAAATAGAAAGCTTTTTATCCAGTTAGGCGTCAGTAGTGGAGTAAAGTTGGACAAAGGTACAGTTGGATAACTAACACACATAATGCAATACTAGCTACTTGAATATGAATTCCTCTTCCTTATGCTTGTGCTGCGGTTCTGTAAGGGATGATCAACGGAGTCCTTTTGATCTCCTGACTTCATTTCTTCTATTTCAGTAACCTGTCGCGAAGTGGAAGCAAAGAAAGATGGAGTACTAGACTGATATTCTTCTTGGTAAATCTCATCATCACTGCTACTGAATATTTCAATAGGTGACTTTCCCTTGTCTGTTTCCTCTTCATCCTCCGATATGTTCGTGTCAGAGTCCCTTTCGCTCCAGCTAGTTTCAGAAGAAGTATCACTGACTGTGTGAAACAAAGTAACACTCTCTTTCTTTGCTCCTTGAAATGAGAAACTCCTTGTTTTACGATCGGACAAGGGAAGGAGAGATGGTGAACGAGGACCAATTTCATCCCTTCCCAAACTGTATGATGTTGAGAGCTTCCTCTCAATGTTTTCCCTTTGTTTAACTAGATTGCCCAACTTTTCCAGCACCTCATTAGCTATTGCATCCTCAGCAGCCTTTTGTTGAAGCTCTGTGATTGATCTATCAAAAACTTTCTTCTGAAGTCGAAGTGATCGCTGAAACATTGGGCCCAAAAGAAAAAGACAAGTTCAGTTTCAGTGTTTTGCTAGAAGGTGGAGTAACAGAACAAACGAAAGGGAAAAGGGACAGAAATACCTTTTTACTATACGAAATACTTTACTTTTGCTCTCCATTTTATGTTGAGGTCATTCATACTCTTGTTGTCAACAAATCGTCTCGTATTTGTCCTTGACCCCAATGGAGCTCCAACATGAAGTATAATAGAGGTAACTTTAGACCGGAGCTGAGCTCCGCTAAAGCCAAGGTACAATACGAGAAAATTTGTTGACAGCTAGAGTATGAATGACTCCAAAGCATAACGAAGGGTAAAATTAAGATACTTCGTACAGTAGATAAGGAACTTGTGGGGAAGCACATAGAGAGAAGCTGAATCCATAAAATGTGGCTTCCAGCTTAAATATCAGATTTCATATAAGAAAAGACATAAAGGTGAAAAGAGAGTGGGAATATAGCTCAGCTTACTCTTTTATCTAAGAATTTCCCAAGATGTTGATTTTGAAGCTTCTTTTTCTTCCAAAACATGCAGCAAAATTTTACTATTATTGCTAGTACTAGCAATATGATAGATTCAAAGATCAGAAACAGCAAAATTGTCTTCTTGTTCCCTGAAGAAAACGAAGGGAATTATTCTGGTATATCAATTGGTTATCTATATCACTACACAAATGTAGGATGTTACCTGTGTAGGTGCTGAAATTTTCGGGCGTAATCTGTGAGCAGCTTAATGCAAACTTCTGACCTGATGCAAAAGAATTATGTGACATCTGACACGAGACGATGCTAAGAATTTCTCGTGATTGTCTAGCTACATTCTAAGATAAAAAATTTAAAGGTACAGAATTTTACGTGAGCTTCGGCATGGCAGCCGGTTCCCAGTACCTGCACAGAAATCCATCTCCATTAGATATACATTAAGCACAAATGAATTGCAGATGGAATTCTCTTTAGGATTCTACGTGTAACTCCAGAAATGGAAATTTATTTAATCAATCATATGAAATATTTGAGTCCTTTCGAGTCATCATGTGTCCAATGTAAATACAGAACATCCATTATTGTGAAGAAACTCACTTGAAGCTGCAAAAAAGGCGAGGAGGACACTTTCATCCAGGAGAAAATGTTGCAGGTCACTTCTCAAAAATTCTGAGGAGAATAGGCCTGATGCAATAAAAAATAATGGATGTTAAGAGTGCTGCAGAGTACAAGATTTATGTATTGATGTTGTTAGTACCAAAGAGATTTCGGGGCTAGGGGGAAGGACGGAAGGTAGATACCAGGATATTGTTCAGACCAAAAGATGATCCCAGTAGCTGGATTAATCAGTGTGAAGATAACACCCTTTGATTTCATCGCGGAGATGTAAGTGTAATCTCCAATTATCCGAGTAATCTTTCCTTCAATCTGTGTCTGAGAAACATAGATTGCATATCCTGAACAACCAAGAACAGGACTGACTTGGATAACAGAATCCATGTTAAGCACTTTAGGGAACTTTTTGAGAACTCCTTTTGGTGAAAACGAATAGAGGTATCCGTCCAATGAACCAATAGATATCCAACCTGGAATTGAATTTGAAATAAACATGAATACCTTTGAACGCTCGATTCAAGTAGAAGTTCGTGATATATGGTAAGGACTAATATTACCATTAGAATCAACAGCAGGGGCATAATCTCCCATACTTAGCGGTCCAAAGCTTTTCTGCCACAAAATGCTTCCCCTGGAAACATCAACTGCTAGTATCAGAGCTTTAGCTGCTACAGTAACATACAACAGACCGTTGTTCCCGGCTTTCATGGTAAGTGTACTTCCGAATGAACTGAAATCTTGTATCCATTTAAAATGTGGACTACGAGTTGACAAAGCATAAATTTCTCCTTGATTGTTAGAAATCTGCAGTTGAAAAGAAAAACGGTTTTGAAAATGCAGAGATAGAGCCTAGTGCAAAGGACAAGCTTAAAAAGCATGGAACACGAAAACCTTACATATATGCTAGCTTCACAGTGATCGAACACAGGGACTGAGGAAAAATAACATTCTGTGATATTTTTCCTACAACCTTGACGATATCCATGCTGATAAAGCAACGGGCCAACACTCCAGTACAGCTTTCCTTGCAACCGGTAAGCAAAGAGACCCCGGTTTTTGACATTGATAAGTACACAGGAACTGGATATACTTACTGCAAGGCCAATAATATCCCCTAGTCTTTCATATTCCGAACCAAAGAACAATTCTACAGCTAATTCAGAACTTCCTACGTTCAACGGGTTGATCTTCAGCACTCTGTCTTCTGCAATCACATATATCTACCAAAAGTAGCTTTGCATAATTAAAAACCAAACACAACTACTAAAAGAAATAATACCAACTAATTGAACAAACAAGGGTACATGAATGAAAAAGTTTAACAAATAATGACCAAAACAGTCTGATCGAAATGAGTTAACGACAATAAGAGGCTTATATGCATTTTCATACAGACATTGCCAAAGTCTGAGGTTAACAACTCCAGAATAGAGGAATGTTGAAGCTTACAGGCATGACATCCACTCTTTGCCTCATCCCGAGAGGGAGAAACAAACAGTATAATAGCATTTTTACAGAAAACTTATACAGGCCTAACAGATCATTTGCTTATACGTAACATTTCCTATAACTTATTTGTTTTAAGTATTATACACTTCACAGTTCACATGATTAGAATGTCAAAGTCTAATTGCTCATATGACAGTCCATAAAACCATTTTATCAGATTCACTAATTCAACGTAAGAGTGTAAGTCAGTTTTAAAGTGAAGCCTTGCCTTTCGTGATTCTCCTTGAACTGGAGCCATACTTGGACTGCATTTGTAACTGAGAGATAACGTCCACGCGACAGAACCATTGCTTTCAAAGGCAAAAAAGTTCTTTTCTGAACACAAATAAACCTTCCCATCATCACTGATCAGTGGCTTACTGAGCTTATATGCAGCTTTCTTGAAAGATTCTTCACCTAAAGAAAACAAATGTAAGAATTCACGAGATTTTAGAACGTTAAATGATTCAATCTCACGTATTAAAAGAATTTATTTATTTTGCGAGCTATGTTTGATGCATCTAAGATTACAATGAGGACAAAATTCAACAGCAAGATCAAATGACAAAAAGGAGGAAAACAATGTAAAACTATTTCAAATGCTCTCCAAAAAGATTACACTATCAATGCATTCAACTTTATGAGTTGTGGATGTTAAAACGATGATTTTTATGTGTTAACACATATTTAATGAATTTCTTTACACAAATACACTGTTTGAGCACAAATTATTGCGTTCTGCCGAACCCATACCTGGGCTTCTATCTCCACCCTTGATGTAATACAACTTGTGGCACAGGAACACTTCAATATATGTTAATTGCAGAAAAACTCGCTTTACATCTTCCTAATTAGTAAATTTTCACTCTGTCATGTCATGTGAGTGTATATAAGTTAAATCTATATCATAACAAATAAATACTACTAGCTTTCCTTTGTTCCACCCTATACTTCTCAAAAATCCAACAATATGTGTCAAATATTTTCACTTACATTTATAATACAAAGTGATACCTGAAAGTATTTGGGGAAGTGGTGATAATAGTAAAAGCAGGGAAGCAAGATGAATATGCAGAGACATCATTGTCAAACGCATAAACTGAAAAAGAGTAGGAAAAAAACCAAGTGCAGAGCGGTTAATTAACCTCTATGGTGAATGCGGTTAATTATGAATGATCATTTTTATAAATTAAATGATCTAGTATTTGGTAAGTTTATAAATAAAAGATTATCTCAAAAATATTTATATGTAATCTAGCAAAATATTATGAATGTAAGATGGGGGCGACGGTGGCCGGGTACATTTTGGCAATAAGAGATCCAAAAATGATATTTTTTATTTATTTATTTCATAGCGATCAAGAGATCTGAATCCTCCGAAGCTATAATTATTTATAATTGTATTACATTTTTATTGAGTAATCTTTATTTTTACACCAAAGAGATTTGAAATAAAGTATTTTCTCATGTGAAAACACACCCATCAGTAAACCAGATCAATTGACATGCAAATTATTTTTTGTTCTTGGTTAATATCCTTTTACTATATATCATGTTGTAATTTCAACGACAAAATAAATTGTTGTAATTAATCAGGTATAAAATTCAAAATTATTTTATCCACACATTTAAATTAATTTTGTTTTAGATATATGTGATACCAAAATTGTTTGGTACTACAATTAGGAGTGATTATGGGTTGGTTTTAAGTTGATCTTTTATTAAAATCAAAATCAAAATCAAAATTAAATTAATTTAATAAAAAAAATTAAACTATTAGAATCAATCCAAATCAAATATAACACATATTTATTGATTTGGTTATTGCCCATTTGTTTAGTTTTTTAAAATATCTAATATATATTTCTCTCTTTCGGTCCCCTCTCCCCTCTCTACGATTAGGAAAATCTATTTTATGCTTTCCAATTATCCATTATTACCCTTTTATTATAGGAGCTAGGAGCCATAGTTCTCTTGGATTAGAGAGAAATCTCTCAAGATCTTTAAGTTGTAATTAAGTGAATAATATATAAAAAAATTTAGATAAATCTTATACACTTATTTCTTTACTAAACAAATTTGAATTCATAAATTTCTTTTAAGAAATAGGTTGAAACGTATAAAGTTCATTAGTCTATTATAAATAAAATATTTAAAATTAATTATAGCTATATAATATTCTAAAATTTGTGTATACAATTTATCAATTTGGTTTGATTTTTTTTTTTATAAAACCAAATAAAATATTATCAAATTTTTAAATCCAAAACCAAACCCAAATAACTATCGGATTGGTTTGATTTTTCATTTTCGGTCCTTTTTTAATCAAACCATAAACACCTCAAAGCACAATGACCTATACATTATGAAAATTTAACACTAGCAACACTTGGATAACACAACTAAAAGATCATTATCTTTCCTTATAATTATTTACTTTATGGATAAATGGTGAGATAGCAAACAAAACCCTATCCAAACTTAAAACCAAATACACTCTTTAGTTATGAACCAAATATTCATCTAATAAGTATACAACAACAACATATCCAGTATAATCCGGTCATGAGAGGGTAGAGTATAGCAAACCTTACATTTACATCAGAGGAGGTAGACACTAAAGAAGTATATGCAGTTCATATACATTTAGACAATACATGGATTATAATCCCAGCATAACTTTATCGACGAATCAAAGGATCACCATTCATGGGACAACATAGGAATAGGGATCAAAAATCGAAACATGCAAGAGGAATAGAAGTGTGATTAGTTGATACTAAAACAACAGTTCTTGGACAATTTTGGTTTACAAAATAAAGCAGTTAAAACAGAGGAAAAATCACATCCCAAAAAGGGGAAAACTTGGAAGTAACTCCCACAGGCAATTATTAGGAATATTAACTAGACAATTCTAGTTTTATAGTCACCCTTCAGGACAAAGTATTATCCCAAAAAAGTATTTTCTGCCCCTAAAACTCTTGTATATCTTTCAGCAAGTCTTCTACCTGAACCACCATCTCTGAATAGTTGAAATAGGAGTATTCAGGAACGGGACATAACGTTGAACAACTGGATTTACAAACCCTCCGATCTTAGCCCACACACTCTGATGGTAACCAGCAGTAGCAGGAGCATGATACATAAGCTTCAATATCTGCAAAGAGTTGCATACTAGTCATTATAACAAAATATCTTGACAAATGGGAATAGTTGGATATTGAAGCTGCCTAAGGTAACATGTACCGGACCAAGGAAAAAGGACAAGATTTAAGAAACTATAACTGCTATTATTTCATCAACTGAAAATTCTGAATCATGATGCTATCAAAGTATGCGGGGTGGCAAATGAGGTGCGGTCGTTGGAATAAATAGGTGCATACCTAACCCTAATCAACTACATACATCCAACTATGTGCTGAACCAATTTTCAATTCCAACAACAAATGTTTCCATTAAACAACACGGAAACAGAGACAGAAAAAAGAAACAACATGCTCTCACAATTTTAATCGCTTGTTTCAATCAAAGAAATAGATCATATATAAAAGGCAAAGATGCCGATGATAAAAGAATGAAAATGAAAGTAAAAGACAAACCTGCCAATACATGAATGTTTGTATAATATTACGCTGCCACCTGAAATTTCATGAACATGAACAGTTAAGATGCATATAAAAACTAAAATAAGAACGTCAAGCATAACAAGCACCAGTAAGGGCCAGGAATAAGTTGACACTTACGATAATAGAGAGACAACCAGAAGAAATCCCAGTCCAATTTCAGCCTGTGAAGACAGTATGTTGAGAGTAGTTACGTTTGACTCGACCCATACGCAAGCCTCTTCCAAGTACTTCCTGTAGGTGGTCAACAAGTACAGACATGAAATAACTCTGAAACACCCAACGTACCATCAATAAGAAATGAGCAGGGAAGGGGTATCAAATAATAACATTCACCATAACATTCACCAGATGGCATTTACATATAATCACAAATGTACAAAGCTTTCGATGTTTTGACAGGAAGGGAAAAGGTCATATACAACTAGAAGGTTCACATAGATGAGAAGTTCAAGAAGAGATGATATACAATTTTTTTTTGTGCAATCACAATTGCAGGTCAGCTACAATTTAGTTTTATTCATAATACATCAGACACATTTCATTAATCCATATTAGCAGTAAGAATGAGCTGTTACAGAAACCTATATCACAGATTCGTTTGAAACATAAAGATTCCTGTACTACAGTTATTTGATTATTTAATAGGATTGTTGTACTGCTTTTCTCCTAATCAGGAATATGGGTTGATTTCAAATGATTATTTCATCTGACTAACAATTTCAAGAAAAACAGCTATTTAATTTCTTTGGTAAGTGGTAACACAACAAAACAGCTTTATACCTGTACAAAGAAGATCTGCTGAAGTTACGTCGAAGAAATTTACCAACATGGTCAAGTGATCGGCATATAACAGGAATCAAAGAAACTGCATATCATTGGTCATGAACAAATTATTAAATGAAGTTACACAGCTGCTATACACTAAGAAGAATATAGCATCAAAAGAAAAAACACGAACTGGAGCATAGCTTACATTTCAGGTAAAGATGGGAAGTGACAAAAGTGAGACAGTAAATGAAGGAGATGAAATCCTTCGTCACAATAACTGACTGCAACCAAACTTGCACTGCTTGTAAATTCCAAGCCCTCGGTTTCTACAAAGAGTTACCAGATCAGAAATAGCCTCATTAGCCCAAAGGACATAAAACTGATCCCACGTATGTAGTTCAACAAAATAATTGTTTTTTAAAAACTTACCCCATATACTGAGTATAATGAATATAGCGAAGAACATGCAGTTCCCAAGAAGGACAGTCGGTATGCTCTGTTTGACAGATTTGCAGGTGTAAGCGGAAATATTGAGAGAACTGCAACAACAAAAACCTGCAGGAAGATACCAGAAAGCAATTTCAGAACTACTTCATTAAAATAAGCAATTTAAGAACTCTCTAACTATTTTTGTAGTAATACCAATGCAACAGTATCAAATCCAATCATCAATATCTTGTTCAGTGTGTCCCAAACTTCAGTTCAAAGGCAAAAGAGAATATACCAGGAAACACGAAGACATGATAATGAAAAATCAGCCTTAGAGAAGCAAAATGGTGATAGGAGCTTCAATAAACCTTGACTCACAAGTTTCCGAGAGGTCTTAGCATAGAATTTCTATGACATGTTTCCAACTTATGCAACAGACCACAAAAGACACTTTTTTGGAGGGGGTGAGGGTGGAGTGCAGAAAGAATTAATGCACCATGACATCTAGAATAACCAACGAATGAGGCTAAAGTAAACAAATCTGACACAGACATGTACATGAGTCTAGTTTTTTTCATAGATCTAGACATCTAGTCACTAGAATAACTTAAACCATTACTTTATTCTTGATATCACGGCGACCTCAAGAAATAAAAGGCAATGATGCAAAGTTGTCTCTAATTGATACTAAAATCAACTCTTCCTCACAATCTTTCTGCTTTTCTTTTTCAATTTTATGACCCTGCCTACAGATTTCAAATAACAAATAAATTGAAAACAAGGCTGTAGAAGATCCTTGGGAAGAAATAATTCTATACTGAAATTTTCCGTAGACACACCCATACTCATAAAGAGGGCATCCACAAGTACAAAAAAGTTGGCATATGTAGGTACACGAGATATATTAGTTTAAAGGCATAAAGATTCTATCCTTGTTGTATATACTCCACCTTTCCCTTACTGCTAATAATAATAAGTTGACCATTTGATCTTCTACGGTATATCAAAAACTTCAATATTCTAACTCAAACATGATTTTCTACAATATTATTGTGTTTAAATTATAAAGAAAATGTCCACATGTTTCCCATCTTTAGTGTACGTGTGAATATACAGTACCCAAGCATTCACTGAAAATTGTATAGTTTTTCGGTCCCATCGAAGTGATGTCGGATTTGAAGTTGGGTTTGTTGACGTGCCCGAAGTTCTACTAGCTTGACCTACACAAGAAAAATTATATAAATTGCATTAAAATGAACCAAAGATTTATATCTGAAGTGAATAATTTCTCCAGAAGGAAGGGCACATTCCATTTAGTCGAAATTCAAAAAAAATCATACCAGAGTTACGCTGTCTTGGCTGGTTATTAGAAGGTGTGGACGATGATGATGATGATGGTTGTGCAGCTGATGGTCTTGCTGATTGGGACGAACTGCTGGTAGTCATTGGCTCAACCACTAGACCAGGGTCCTGAAAATAATGGATATAAATTCAAACAAACCAAAGCAATCTCCCAAGATCAACCTAAAAATGTAAAGATGTGTCCCACTGCAGATATCTGAAATGGTATTTTAAGTACAGCAAAGCTCAAGGATCCATCAAAATTGCAGAACTGCTACTTCAAGAACTTGAACTGACTCCCCACTCTTATCATTATTGTGTATTAAAAATCTCATTTTGGTATCAGTCTACATTGCTAGGAGCCTAGGAGTATTCACACACTATTATATGACATGATTAGGAGCCTCCCTTCTGACTTTCATCTGTTCCCCCAAGAAAAGGGAGGATGAGGTAATTAATCAGGTGAAATAAGGTATACATCCAACAATAATCTCAATCAATAGACAACAAAATATCTAAGCCATTAAATTATCCAAAAGAAAAGACAGTACTATACCTCAGGATAAGTGACAAAAATGTTGAAGGCAAAGATATATAACACAAGTGAGAAAAAGAGAAAAAGAAAGTAGAAGCTGGAGAGGAGGGGAAAAGCAGAGTTGAAATTCTCCTCTGAAATTTTAAAAAGCCAAAATCTCTGGAACTCCATGTACTTAAGGATACAATAAAAGTAGGAAATAAGACGAGAATAAGCTTAATAGTAAAAGATAAGGACAACGAGGATGACAACGGAGTTAAAGTATAATATTAGGAAAAAGATCCCACATGATAAGAAAACCTGCATGAATTTCATGACACACCACATCAGGAAGTGCTAGGAAAAAGAAAGTAGTGCAACAACTTACAGTTAAGTAGATTTTATTATTTATTTTTTTGTGTACCGGGTGGAAAACCAAAAAAAAATAGAGTTTTTGACAAAACTAAAAGACTCTTTTTTTTAAACAAAAGGCCTTAAAAACTCAACTTCATTTTGAAGAATGACATACTTAAACAATCCATTCCACAAAGAAAAGAGGTGCAATATTTGGAAAATTTTACAGATATTTTCAGTGCAGAGAGTAAAAGTCCCTGAAATTTGTATACAATCAACTCGGAGTTACAAGCTAATACCATTAAACTCATCCATAGTACACATTTTAACAAATAATCAATGAACCCCTCAACTTGGAATGACCTATAAGCCACTGAATACCTAAACAATTTACCCAAAACCCAATATTTTCCAAAAACCCTTTGGTTAAATTGAATCGAGAAAAATTTAGAACTAAGAGCAAGGCTTCAAAATATAAAAACTGGAGTGCCAAGTCCCAACAAAGTATAAACAACAGTAATCGAGATTGACATATTAATTAAAAGACATGTAGTAAAGAAAGTTGGCAGTAAACCCCATCTGAAGTCGAATGATTTTGAATATAGCAACGAACAATTATCAAGTTGGACCGAAATCCCAAAATAGTTAAGGTGGGCAAATACTGACTATGTATCGTTGATAAAACTTGCGCTTGAAATGGTCGACGACATCAGAACGGGAAGCCATGTGAGGAGGAATGAGTATATTGGACCAATAATCTGCCCATCTTGGATCATTCTCGTAGTCATACGCTGCTGCTGCTGTGTTCTTCAATTTCTGTTGATCTTCTTCTCCTCCTCCCATTTCTTCCTCTTTCTCTGTTACAACTCAACCTGTCCACTATAGATAGGAGTTAAAAACGACGACGCTAAGGGTTTTCAAGGAAAATTTTGGGGTTTTGACTTTTCACTAAACATACCATCAAAAACACAAATACATACCGGCTTATTTGGTAGACTGTGTAAGAATAATACTCTACTAAATATGACATATTAGTAATGGTTGTATTATTTTTTATAGGGAGAAGGATCTGAAAAATACCTTAACCTTGGTCAGATTTGTTGTTGCGATACTAAACTTTCATGAGGACCTATTACCTTCCTAGACTATTTAATACCGTATTTTAAACATATATATTTACCCACGTGGACATAAAAAATAATATAAAATTATAAATAGTAATGTGTCCACGTGGGCACATATATACCTTTAAAATACACTATTAAATAGTTCAGGGGTAAAAAATATGGTATTAAATAGTCTAGGGAGGTAATAGGTCCTCAGGAAAGTTTAGTATCGCAACAGCAAATCCGACCAAAGTTGAGATATTTTTCAGACCCTTATTCCTTTTTTATATATTGTTTGGTTTGATAGATTAGAAATAATAAGCATGGTATATTTTTTATTAAAAAAATATTTATTTACAAAAATATTATTCACACTTTTTCGTTTTGTACACTTTCATTACAACAAGATTCTTTAATAAAACATCACATTATAATTATTTGCTAAAACATCATTAACTCTCTTTTTTTTCTAAAAATAAATTAAATAGTTGTTAATATTGCTTCAAAATGTTTTTGAGGAAAGGTGACGAAGAGTTTTTTTTAAATCAAACTTATTGTCCATCTTCATGTTTTTTAGGAATAGAACCATATTTTGAGTTTCTAACAATGTGATACTAATTTATTGTTATTTTTTATGTTTGTACCACATATTGGCATTGAAAGGAGCAGAGCATTCGAGCAATGACAAAGTCCCATATAATATGTATAAATTACGAATTTAAATCACAAAATCAAGCAAATTAGTTATTTCAAGTTACGTTTTCAGTATCCATTTTTGAGTAACTCGTCCCTAGAAGTAATAGTACGTGTATTTGTTCTATTGTATTTTACCCCTTCATAGCACCTTTTGTCAATTGTGCGTAGACTTTGAAGTACAATGTGGAGCAGCTACATTTTTTTTAATTTTCAAAAATATTTTATCAAAAAAAAAAACTCTCCGTATCAAAAAACTAAATATTTGCAGTAATCTATATATTTTTAACTGCAATTTGTGCATATATTGTTGGCACAATTTTACCTTTTGAGAATAATATCAGTTTACGGTGGAAAAGTATTGGGAAATGTTTTGAGAAAGCTTTGAAGATAGTTTTGTCATTAGTTAATTTAATGAAAGTGTTAAAACCCTTTGTATTACTAATACCTAGAAATTAATGGTATTAGTAATGCACCATTTAATACACAATAGAGTATATAAATAATGTAAACATTAGTTGTACATGGTATGAAAAAGTGTACCAAACAAGGTACTACTAATACACAAAGTTAATGCACGCATTATTTTTACTAATACACTCTACCAAACGACCCCATACACTATAGTGCTTTCATTATATACGTTAGAACATGTTTGACATTGTTGCTAAAAACTACTTATTTTTAGAATGACTTTTTTAAAAATGATTTTCTTTTTAAAAAAGCTGCTTTTGAAAATTTAAATAATAATTTGTGTTTGGCTAATTCATTTGAAAAGTGTTTTTGATAAACAAATTGTGTTTGACTAATTTTTAAAAAAGAGTGCTTTTGAGAGTCAAATTACAAAAAAGGGTAAGTATTAATGTACTTTTAATATTAAGATTATTATATAGAGAGAAATCATTTTAAATATCTATTTCAAATTTTTTAATTAAAATGCATATATTTAAATTTTCAATCAATATTATACATAAATAAATAAATAAAATAAAATATTAATACAATATTAACATGATGATTTTAATATAATTAAAATTATAGCAAGCAAAATAAATTCAAAAACCATTCCGCGAATTAAATCACTACATAATTTTTTTTACCATAAACAAATAAAGTCCTTCATATTTTTAATTCTGCAAAAATATTGTTATTACCTTTATTTCTAATTTTGTAAAATAAAAAGTAAAATAATATATAATATATAAAATATAAAATAATAATATATAAACATAAAATAAAATAATTATATAAAAAAATTTAAAAAAAAAACTTGAATGAAACTTAAGCAAACTTATGAGATATGCTAATTAATTAATAAGGGATATATTGGTAAATATAAATATATGAAAGGGATATTTTAGTCTTCAGAAAAATAATTTCATGCTTCTGTTTTTCTTAATAAGCAGAATTTTTTCGTTTCTTCTCAACAGCAGAAAAAACTATTTCTACTTCTATGTAAAAGCAATTTTAAGGATTTGTCAAACACTGGATTTTTAAAAAAAAAAAATTCTAAAAAAAACACTTTTAGTCTCCCAACAACAATGTCAAATAGGCTCTTAGTTTGATTTGTTACGAGGTATACAAAAAATTATGGTCTAAAATAAATTATAAATATTTGTGTGATTATAAAACATTTCATTAAGGATAAAAATGAACATTTTATAGTTGAATTATAACTAAATATAACAAATGCGTTACTCTTTTTTGAATTGACCAAAAAGAAAAGTGAATCATAAAAATTGAAACCAATGGAGTAATAAAATTGAAGCATGACTTTTCATTTAGACACATGAAGTAAATTTTGTACATTTTAAATACTCATTTCGATACGTTTAGCTAACTTGACACATTACTGCCTCATTTATTTTCATTGGGATTAAGTTGTATGAATCTGAATACACATCTGAATATTAAAATGTACATTAAGATCTAAATGTCCGAATTTGAATGTACATATGAATATTAAGACGTAGTCTATGAATCTGAACACTAAATGATTAAGTTTGTTTGCTTTCAATATCTAAATATGCACAATTGCATATGAAATAACTATATTTTATATAAAATTTAAATTAAGAACAATACAAATAAAACTTATATATCAATATAAAACAATATTACAATAAGATAACATAAACTCTTTAAAGAATTAAGTTGATGCCAATCAAAATTTTCAAGTAATCTGAAGAAAGTTTGCTTTGTCAACTGTATTTTTTAGTGTGCAAACCTAAGAATAAAAGTAAGAGATTCTTTGTGTTCTTGGTCCCTGATAGGTTTATAATAAAAATAATAATTATATTCTCTGTTTTCTCTTGCCTTCTTTCGTGCTATAACTTGATTCCAATTGGTATCTGGCAATTCGAATTGGTATCTAATCTCCTTCCCTCTTCTGTCCGCAGATGGTTAACACTAGGTTCAACGGCGTCAGGCCCACAACTCCTGTCAATGCTCCAGCTGAGGAATCCGCAGCAAAAGGTCGCGGTCGAGGCAGGGGTAGAGGAAGAGCAAGGGGCAGAGGCCGAGGAAGGGTAGCACCTACTAGGATGGAGCTCTGGTTGAGAATGCTCCCAGAAATGAGATCTCTCTTGCGCATCATGAAGAGATCGAAGAGAATGGAGAAGTTGAGGAGGAGGAGAATGTTGGACAAGAGGAAGAGGTGCAGGCTGAGACTACAAGTATTCCTCCCTTAGACCCAGTGTTAGCTCAACATATTATGTCGTTCTCAAAAGAATTGGTTGGTCCTGGAGTACTTCCCTTTGTTCAAGAAACTCAAGCTCCCACCAATCCCCCTATTGCTATCACTATCCCCAAGGTGGGTGGAACTGTAGGTAATGATGCTTTCTTCCGTCCTTTGTTGGGTCCTTCTATGACTGGTAATGAGCATGAGATGTTGACTAAGTTCTTGAAATTGAAACCGCATGTATTCCATGGTTCTGAGATTGAGGACGCATATGAGTTCATCTTAGATTGTTATGAGAGGCTTCATAAGTTGGGAACTGTCCATCAACATGGCATGGAGTTCGTGACCTTTCAACTTCAAGGTGAGGCTAAGCAGTGGTGGAGAGCTTATGTGGAATGCAAATCTTCAGTTTTACCCCCATTTACTTGGACCCAGTTTCATGCTTTGTTCTTGGAGAAGTATGTGCCCCGGACTTTGAGAGATCGTTAAAAAGATGAGTTCATGGCTTTGGAACAAGGTGGTATGACTGTGGCTGTTTATGAGACTAAGTTTCATGCTTTGTCTAGATATGCTACGCAATTGGTGACTATTGAGGAAGAGAGGATCCGCCTATTTGTTAAGGGACTAAATTCTGAATTGCAAGTATTGTATGTTCATATGACCTCTGCAGGAAAAAGCTTCAATGAGGTAACAAATTTTGTGAAGAAAGCGGAGGGGTGAAGCGAGACGGTCAGGCTAAGAAAGCCAAGAATTCAGGCAACTTTCAGGGTTCTTACTCCAGAGGTTCAGGGAGGCCGACACTTGCAGCCCGGCCAATTCAGTCTGCTATGCCCGTTTCTACAGGTAATTACTCATGGACTCCACCTCAAAATTTGATTTAGGATAGCCAGGGAGCCGCACCTTCGGCGGGCAGCAGGCCATCTTTTGATCGCACTTGTTATAATTGTGGAGAACCTGGGCATATGAGGAGAGATTGTCCCCACCCGCACATGATGGATTACGCGCAACAGCAGACGAGAGCAATGGTACCCATGGGAAATGGTAATAATGGTCAAGGGCGCCCACAAGGTGGGCAATGAGGAAATCAGCGAGGCCGTGGAGGTAGGGGAAATGGTAACGCAGGCAGGGGTACAGTGCAGCCAGGCAGGGAAGTCGCTCGTCATGATAACATGGCTCAGTGTTATGCCTTTCCGGGCAAGACCGAGGCAGAGGCGTATGACGCCGTGATCACAAGTACTATTCTTGTCTGTGACCAGATGGCTAATATGTTATTTGATCCGGGTTCTACTTATTATTATATGTCCGTGCGATTTGCCTCAGAATTTGCTATGATTTGTGATATACTTGATGCCCCCATCCATGTTTCTACCCCAGTTGGAGAGTCTGTCATAGTCACACATGTCTATCGTGCTTGTCCTAATTGTAATAC